TTTTTAAAGAATATTTCTTATTTGAAAGTTTGTGAACAAATAAAACAATTATCGTGGGCTATCTTGAAGCTTCGTATCGAATCAAATGCAAACGAACTGACCAATCATGTGCCCCAGGACAAGATCAGGACAATAATTACTGAAAAGGTTACTTTGTTCTCCCCCATTTTATTCCATGAGAAAGTACGCGAGATTGTTCACTTGTCCTTACTGATCTCAAGTCCCATTTGCTTTTCCTTCATTCCAATAAGCTTAGTCTCTTCGTACTCTCGAAGGCGCGACACTGCGAAGCACATCTGGAAGATGTTAACGAACAGAGGGCACTATGGTCAGTTACCGTTGGTCATCGCCAACCAAGTTTGAACGAAGCGGATTGCTTTCTCCTCCCACTTCACAACTTGCGCCCCCGCTCAACACACCAGGCACCGGAACACCACGGTCATCATGCGGTTGCTTACGCTTGTGACTCTGATTGCGATTGCTTCGAGCTGCGTCTCTGTTTCTGCTGCGTCGGACTCGCTCAATTCACTTTCATCCCGAGCTCACGCTTCCAACCACAAACGTCTCCTGCGTCAGAACGATTTCAACGAGCTGTCAGCCACAAAACGCAACGATGAAGAAAGAATTGGTCTGCTGAATATGGCGGATGACGTCGCTGCCTCGATTGGCACAACAATTGGAAAGGGGGGAGCGAATCTGAAAGCCGCGTTGGGGAAAGTTGCATTGACGGCTGACGAGATCGCAGATGTGGTGAAGAGGATCTCCACCAAGTATCCCGAAGGCTTGAGCGCTGCGACGATGAAGCAGGTTCAACAAGTCGAAGAACGTAGAGTGAAGGATATCGCTACGTATTCCAAGGAAACCGCTGATGGTATGCGCAGGAAGATCGAGCCCTTCCCTGGCATCAAAATCGCCCCGGAAGAATACCTCGGATCCCATGTTGGACGTGCAATTCAACGTTACGAGGATGACGGTACCCGTTTGCTGTCATGTAATGTGATCTCCCGGCCTAAGGAGCAAGGCGGGGGAGATGTCCTTTTGATTTCAAGCTCGAACCCAAACAAGGACGATTGGCTGCTTCCTAAGGGAGGCTGGGACGAAGGCGAGAGCATTGAAAAGGCTGCCTGGAGGGAAGCTATTGAAGAAGGAGGGGTATGTTAGATGCTGCAATCGTTTTGTTAGTATTTTGTGTGCTAAAACAGTGATTTTATAGGTTAACACGAAGCTTACAGCCGCTCTGGGAAAGGTTCGGTTTGAGAACAAGGACAACAAGAAGTACAAATACTACGCCTACAAGATGCAGGCTAAGACGGTCTATGACGATTGGTCCGAGAGTGTGCGCTATCGTCTGTGGGTCTCATACGAAGATGCTATCAAGATGCTCGGGAATCGCAAAGAAATGGTTGACATTGTGAAGCGCGCAAAGTTGGCAGATGACCTTGCGAAGGTCAATAGGTTGCCAAAGGAGGACAAAAATCTTGCGGCACTCGATTTTCTGAAGGTCGCGCCAGCTGCAAGGTAGAATACAAAATATAGACGAGAAGGCAACAGGATGAATTGACTTCGTTAGCGACCTTAATCACGAATAGAGTGTCAGTCGATGAGGGTTCGTTGAGCAGTATTGTGTTTGTTGCATGCAAGGGAGCTGGCTAACGAGCCTTTGAAAACCATACCACGTTTGGCATTTAACGGATTCTTACGAATAAAAGACCTCTTACAAGTATAATACCTCCGTTGAATGGTTAATGCTGTTCTAGAATTTGAAGCTCTACGATTACAAGAACGCAACGCTAGCGCTCAACCAACACCATTCTAGTAAGACAACTTATCGGTCCTGATCGACGCTTGGAAGCACTCGGACGTTGTGGAAAACAGTCGCAGTGGCATCCCTCGCCCTCCTCCTGTAGCTACTGTGTGTGATTAGGTGTGCCGAGTGTGGCGCGACACACCTCAGTCCGCTGTGGAATTCGATTGAGAACGCCGGTTTTGATGCCGATCCCACCCGCTGGTTCAAATGCAATCATACCGTCTACTGTTGTGAATCGTATGACCGAAAGCTTCACACTCAAGGAGGAAAAATGAAAAGTGAGATTAA